CGTTGGGTGTTGGGTTCTTCTTTTAGTACTGTTAGTATTGAAAGCTAGTTGCTATCTCAACACGAGAAGGATCCCCAAATAACAAGTCTGGAAAGACTGATTGAACTCGAACAACTTTGCTGCTCAAAAAGCTGTACAGTGGCGCCGCGTACAATAGCCAGTCGTGCAAGTGCAAAAGTGGGGATGTGACAAGTTGAGGCTGTGCAATAAGTAATCAATCGGCTGGCGCCAATCAAATGAGGCAGGAATATTGATAACCTACAAGCGTAAACGCGGTGAGTTGACATCAAGCGAACAAAAGGGCAATAGTGGGCAGCGAGCGAAGCTCAGGGCACGAAAGGCAGCACGAGTCAGCGCAGTTGCTTTGGGCGACGGATTCCTACATTAATGCATTATTCTCATCGGTTGTTTCCTGGATTGGTTTTGGTGTTCATTAATTCCATGTGTTGTTCCGTGTTAACTCTGTCGGAGATTGAAGTCATGACTATTCACATCATTCACACCTTTCCACCCAAACTTTTGTCGCACTGGTGATTCGGCTTCGCACTCGCTTTGCTTTTTGACCAGTCTGGCTTACTGTACACCCACTGAACTGTCGAATTGAGCCGTCGAGGCCACGTCTTACGGAACAGCTTGCTGCTTGAGGCTTGAAACCTCCATTTGTAGTTTTACTGAATAATGAGTATTGGCCTTACCTCTTAACCCACAGGTCACCAATATGGAGGAGATACTCTGCCAGGTTCAGGACGTCTACGGAGACGAGAGTCTAGCTGTTCTTGACTGCGCAGCTTTCGACGAGCACGGCTTGTACAATACCGTACGTCTTGTTGCGCCTTTTTTCCGTTGTTTTTTTTCGAAAATTTTCATAATTCCTACTAATTCAGGTCAGTTAGATAAGTAGCTAGCACTTTGCGAGTTAGTTGTACATAAGTGGGTGCTTGCGATCTGCTTGATTCTTCCGGATAAGACAGTGACAATCTTTTTGCTGCCGTTTAGCTGCCTAGGTTTCATAGCCAAAGTTGCTGGTCGTAGACCATTTGTCCTTATTTGTCGCTTATGCTTTTTTTCTGTTATCTTCATTGTTTTAGGTTAGTGTGCAGTTTGCCTTCTAGGTGCGCTTTACTTCCACGACTTATGCCCACACCAGTTTCTACCTAATTAGTCACAGTAACAACGGTGAACTTTTATCACACAACCCGCATGACCGAATTACACGAAATTCCGAACCCACGTTCAAGATATACTGGCGTTCGCGTCACTCCTAAACCGTATGAACTCTAAGGTCATGTGCCAGAACAAGATAAACTTCATCAGACCCTAATCGCCTGGTCTCTGTTCGGTCTTCTGGTAGCCGCAGTAATCGTAGACTTTGCAGTGACTGCTCCGGCTTCTTTCACCCCCATGAAAATGGAATCTACCCATATGTGTTCAGATCAATGGCAGTCGCGAAATAAAACTTAATTTCAGTTCTTCCATCACCCAATGAACACACTATGGTTTAAAATCCTTCATACTCCAGGAGAAAAAAGGTTTACTGCGAAGCGAACGGGCGTTACAGTCTGACGACAAATAATTATTGATTTTACTCGGTCTTTTCGTGGTTGTAGGGGGCATAAACTTTAATTACCTAAACGGTAGATGTGTCAGTCTGTGTTGCCAGTTAATTTGTTTTAGCCACTACAGTTTCTTTCTTGGGCGGGGAGGGGTAGTTTCTGGGTTCTCAGTGAGTTTAATTCCAATTCGCATTCACGGCTTTGTGGTTAGTTGGTATGCCTTGTTTCCACTTATCCCTGGTTTTGGTCCCTTAGAGCAATTTGCGTGGACTCGTCTTAGTCCTTCGATTTTGTAGCCCTCTGTGTTCACGACGGCCATTTTCATACGCCATTAATTTTGGAGCAGGTACTTTTGACTTTTATGAGATCACGTTGGCGCATGGGCCACACCCTTAGTTGACGGTAATGATAGGATTAGAAATTATCTTTTATTCTTTTCTCTGTTCCCAGCAATTTGAAAGCTACCCGTCCTCGTCCGAATGTGACCTGCAGTCTGAATTGATGTTACCTGGTTGTGTCGGTGGCCTCCACCACCGCCAGAGTTACCGGCGTAGACGAAACCGGCAGCGCAATTCGAAGAGGAAAAAAAACAAGGTGTGGTCGGCACCACCGCCACAACCACCTGCCGCACAAAATGTCAGTCTCTCAAAAAGTTCCCTTCACACTCCCTTAGGATTCAGCCGCTGTGCCAGTCTTGACAGCTGTGTCCAGTTGTCTCCTCGCCACCCGATTGAAGAACACCCCTGCATCCTTACCGAGACTGCTGCTATAACTATGCCCAAACACGCAGGTGCTAGAACGAGCGCTTTTTCTGACCTTGGAGTTATGGACTACTCGTCTGGCAGTTACGAACAAACCGGCGGATCTGCTCCGGAAGCCGAAGA